TAATTAGAGGGGTTTAAGGATTTATTCAAGGAGTAACAGAACTTATTTTTGATTGTATGCATGAATGTGTACTAAGACGCAAAAACTTGTATAAAGTAATTTTTCAGTAGTTTGATTAAATGGACATTGAGAATCTAAGACTTTAGTGGATGGCTCAAAGTTGAATAGTTACTTTGTAAAGCCAGTTTAGAAACTATAGAAAATATTATATTCATGCTATATTAGAATCAGCATTTCAAACCATATACTAAGTATAGTCTGATTCATCTTCTTACAACATTCTGAAATACTAAAATATATATTGTTTTCCAGTGACTGTTTTGATTGTCTTTTTATTTATAGGGAAAGCTGTTTACAGTCTTAGACCAAATGAAAGTGATATTAGGAAAGAAATTATAATGAATGGACCAGTTGAAGCGGGCATTTTTGTGCATTCTGATTTTTTTAACTATAAATCTGGTGTTTATAAACATATAATCGGACGATTAGTTACCATTCATTCAGTTCGAATAATTGGATGGGGTATAGAAAATGATATTCCTTACTGGCTATGTGCTAACTCATGGAACGAAGATTGGGGTCTGAATGGATACTTTAAAATTTTGCGCGGGTCAAATGAATGCGAAATTGAAAGTTTCGTAAATGCTGGTAAAGTGGACAATAAGCCTAGATCAGACTGAAAATAATGGTAATATCATTATTATAATTTTATCTGAATAGCTTATTTTCATTAAACGATTTAAATTTAAACAGTTATATCCAAATATAATTCATGATAACTAAACTTTGACTTTTATAATGCACAACATAAGGTAAGGAATGAACATTTTATATTTGGAACCTAATTTACTAAACATTTTAGTTTTGTTTCCTGTATCTAGAAAGAAAAGTGTTTAAGGTAGTCGGCGAAATATTGTTCAGTAATGGTATAAGTTGGTTGACAAATATACTGATACATTTACAAAACACGTCTGCAAAATGTTTTACAAGAACGGCCAGTGAGTTATCAGTGGAGTCGATGTGAGGGTATATCCGAATTTTAGATATTCATAACTTCTAAAACATGTCTCTGATTGATTCAGTGATTAATTTGTTGAACTTGGACCACCATGACATTTGAACCAATGAGATTGTCTTTTTCCTGGCCAATGAGATTTGAGAAAATTTACTAACATCAAATGACAACATTTAGTTAATGCAAATCTAATAATTGAATTGTAAATTAATATTTCATTTCAACACATTACATTTTATCAGAAGGGATTTTGTGGAGATTTAAGTAATTTCAATAGTTGAAATTAGGAGTCAATTAACGCTAGACCACCATGGAAAACCTCGCAGGGGGCGGGAACGTGGATGCGCACTGTTGAGGAGTCCCATACTCGGACGAAACGGCCGTCCAGTGCTCCGAGGTTTTTCATGGTCGTCTAGCTTCAAATGACTCATGATTTCAACTATTGATATTACATTTTACTTGTAAACACAGTAAAAGTGTCCAGTTGCATTTAGGGCATATAAAGAAATCTACGGCTTAATTAAATTGCTTTGATATGATTTACTGAATTAGCTAGAGATCATTATGTCAATTAATGTTTTAGAAAATAACTGAGCATACAAGTAAACTGGACGAAAATGATCGAAATATGGAAACGTGTAGTAACATATTGAAAGTATGAAGAAAGTCACGATAATATAGTGATATAAGTTAAGTACATAAGATAGAAGTCGTATTTAACTAGATTAGTAAGTAATATATTCACGTGAAGCTATGGATATTTCCCATTTCATACCAGTGATATGTATAAATGGATGCTTTTGAGAATAAAGGCTATATATATTTAAAAGGGAGATTGATTATGAAGTATAAATACATGAGTTTTTTATTACTTAAGGATTACCACTGTATTATTAGTATAAGTGTAAGATTCCTTTGATCCATTTTATTCAAAGTTTCATACTTTTCACATAATTACTCATTTTTATAAGTAATACACAGGTCACTGAAGTAAATCTCATAGGACAATAAGCAATACACTAGTTCGAAGCAAATTCTATGTCCACTATGCAAGAACATAAAATCTGCATTACACTTTTATTTTGCCTACGTAATCCAAAATAAATAATCAATTGTAGTATGAACCAAAAAGTAAATAAATATTTTTATTGTTGTTGGGTACTGCGTTATGAGGCCGTTCGATAAAAGTAGCAGTTGTCTATCGAAAGTTTAGTTCACCTTTATAACTAACCATACCAATAGCTTATTCTACCAAGGACACAATGACTACGACCGACAACAGACGAATCATAACTATTACTAATCCATAAGCAAGTAACTCAATGTCCAATTAGAGGATGAAGCTAGATAGTAAATCCTTTTGTTGTTTTGACTCAAAGCTCATATGATAATATACATTAAATACTTAACCTTACACTAACATGGATAAAAAATAAAATCACGCACACAATTGAGCCATAAGTGATACAAAACCTGAGTAACAGAGGAATAATTAATTGATCTCATGATCTTAACCATCGAAATTACTATAATACTCACAAAAAACCCTTCTGATATGAATCAACATATAATCATTAGTGAGTGGCTTCAACAGGTATTTCCTCGAGTTCTAATGAGAAGCAGTGACCAACGGAGTTCAACTGGGTCTGTTGTGAGATAGTAACTCACTGATGACAATGGTAGATGTGTCGCTCAACTTCGTGGATCGATTGAATTTAGACATTAACACCGTTGGATGCCGGTCATCCCAGTGGTCTAGAGGTTAAGTGTTCGCTCACGAGACCAGCAGGTCCTGTGTTCGAATCTCGCGAGGCCGAATCGTGGATGCCCACTGTTGAGGAGTCCCACAACAGGAAGAAATGGCCTTACAGTGCTTCGAGGTTTACCATGATGGTCTAGCTTTAATTGACTCATGATCTCAACCATTTAAATTAGTATAATATCTACCAAAAACCCTTCTGATATGAATAATTAATTAACAAGAAGTTAAGCCATTATCTCATCCGTAATTTTTTTTCATACTTATATTTCTTCCTTACTCCATGATTATTGAGTAACCTCATTTGACAATAAGAGTCTCGAATCAATGTATGATGCAATCTTTTCTATTCTTCTATAGACATATGTTTTCTGTACAGTCTTAAATTGAAAAAGAAGGTTCTATATAAATTGAATCACGTTACCTATTTTAGTTACAGAAATAAAAGTTGATACAGTTTAAAAATCGCTAGGAAAGGTTAATGAGTAAGTGTCTTTAGTTGATTCCTTTTTAAAAGGACTTTTTATTAGAACCAACAGATAAGTATAATTTATTAATTGAATAACTGACTTGTTTATCAGTGGTTCATTAAGTTTATATCCAACTGGGATTACTTATCACAGTTTTAAGTGTTCAATTAATATGTTATATGGATTACTTTTGCTTAATTTTCCTTTCATTTAATGGTTGAGTGATGCATAGTAGTGTGATCTTTATAAAAGACTGTTTTAGGCCTTTAGGTTCAATAGATTTGTGTTTTTCATCTTGTATGTTGTGATGCTCTAAACTGATACATTTACACCAGATATTTACGGAAACCTTTCAACACTTGGAATCAAATTTTTAATAGGAATTACACTCTAATATGCACCACTCATTCACTTGATGAAATAAAAAGTGGCTAGAAATACTGAATGTAGTATGTATATAGAATGTTAATTAAACATTAAATACGTGAAGGATAATCTTAGTCTCAGTATTCTATGCAAATAAAACAAAAGTTATGTTAGAGTACCAAGTGGTTGACAGAAGAATCGTTTATTAAATAGACATCTTTATCTAATTGGTCAATGATTAATGTGATTCAATAACTGTTATTAGTGTTCATGGTCTTCAGAGATTAAAGTTTGATTTCTTCATTCATTATTTACTGAACTTTATAAATTACTGTATTTAAATAGTTTTAATGCCCAGAATAAGATGCTTATTCTCTTGTGATAGCCTTGAAGACCGGTTATCATTGAAACAGTGAACATCATTGTGTATATATATGTAAATGTAAGTACAAATCAGCACATAAATAAATGTTCATCTGTTCATTTATACACTTCAAGTGTAGTTTATTAGTATTCGTTGCTTGAATTTTTCCATTGATGCTTAGAACTGCAATTGATCAGTCCATTGAACAAGCTAGTGGTTGTCTGAACTCAGTAGTTGAGTCAGTAAAGCAATAAAATTTTTAAGCGAGCGATACTGGGTTCAAGTCACAGAGTGAACATCAACTCTGAGATGCAGGTAAATTCAACTGACGAGTCCCAAATAGAACGAAACCCGCATCCTGGATTCAACTGCTAGTCACCATCATCTCATATATAGTCTATTTGGTCTACTTACTTTTTTTTCAATTTCTAATACTCAAAAAGGATAAACTTGAAAGAAAAAAGAATCTAATACATTTTGACTGACAACTTACTGACAGGAAATAAAGATATAAAAAGTGAAAATAATTTTCATCGAAAGTATAACAATAAACTCTTTTATTCTAATCAATTATTGGCGTCAACTAATAGTATGCATGTATGATCTTGTGTAATAAAGTATTCTCATCTCATCTCTTCTTTTAAGTTAATATACATTTTTCCAACATAGTAGTATATTCACTGACCCTATTTATGAATTCTTTCGTTTACATTAAAAAAAAAACAACAACAAGAACAATGTGGATTATTTGAAATGGTTAGTTCAAGATATACAAATGAATGACATGGTGAGATCTATGCCTTTATTTTTGTTTGTTGTAATGTATTTGAATGCATTTACATATTTGTTTCGTTGTATTCATATCATTGTATATAATTTAGTGCTAATTAGTTTATGTCTGTGCATAGCATTCAATATGGACAATAAGATTTTTAATATAGATGTATCTATACAAATAGTATCCATATAAGTAATTCATGTTTGTACAGACATGTTCAAAAATATAAATTATCTTGACTCTGTTCTGTTCTGTTTTTTATTTATTTATTATTTTTAAATAGGATTGTTATTTTGCAAGGTTGTTCAGTATTATCATTTACTAATGAATCCAGTTAAATAAATGTAGACTAATTCAATTTTTATATTGACTTACTAGTTTATAACTTTAAAAATGAACATTCATTTAGCATGAATACGAATACAAACAAAGGATAAGTTCTTTGTTCATTTATTCTTTATGAATATGATAAAACAAACTGTACTGATCTGTTTTAAAGTTCAATGATTACAATCAGATGATCATACATAATAATAATGAACATTGAGATTATTCCATTCATCATTGGTATTTTAATTCTTACATTATTCAATGGATTATATTGGTGTAATGAATGGAAACATGTAAATAATCGTAAGTGATAATTTGAAATTTAAATTCAAGTTTATTATTGTTTTACAGAGTGAAATGTCTTAACAGAAAAGGGTCTTTTTCTGGAAATTGTAATCATTTAATAGTTAAGTTCATGAGTTTATTAAAGTTAGATCACTATGGAAAATCTGAAAGCATTAGATGAATCTAGTGAGGTAGGAATGTGAATGTGTACTGCTGAAGAGTCTCATATTAGGACAAAATGATAATTTAGTACTTCCAAGGTTTTCATGTTGGTTTAGCTTTGATTGACTCATGAAGTCAACTGTTAAATTTATTAATAATTTTTATGCTTTACAGTGATATCATTTAAACAGGTAATGAATACTGACTGAGTTAGAATGATATTTAGATGTATTAGAAATGAAGTGATTTCATCGGAATTTCTAAAATTTGATTTATAATAGTATAATAATATATATATTCTGAAAATAATAATTACAGAATTCATGCCAGTTTACAGGCATGATCAATTTGATATAAATAGTGACATAAGATGTAGAGAACAAACATGTGATAGAATATAGTTTTAAGTATACTAGTTCAGTAATTGTTTAGGTAGTACATGTATTACAGCAATCCAATGCAATAGCCGGGATCTTTTAATTTTTCTTAAGTGAACAGCCTATTGATTTATGAGTGGTGTATTTAAGGTCATTTCCTGTGCCATAACGAATTAATGGTAATTATTTACACCTTCGTTCATTCCACATACTCGATGAAACAGACTTTTATTTTTGGATATGTATTGAATTATATACATCGGGTGATATTATTCAATGATGAATTTAGAGTCCTTACATTTAATCGGTTGTAAATGATATTACTGTAGGCTTGCTAAGTACAAAGTAATTCAGTGGATGAGAATAAATGACGTATTGAAGATTTTTGTAGCGATAAAAGTTAATGGAGGTAAGGATTGTAGTGTCTGAGATGAATGGGTAAATATTTTATGGAACTTAATAGGAGGTAAGAACATACTATAGCACTATTTGCTACATATATATTCCAACTGTATACCCCATCGAGCACAGAGAAGAGTCACTCATAAACGATGGGATTGATCGGGTGTTTCAATGAATTTCAAAGAATTTCGGACTAAGCATTACAATACTTTGGAATTTATAGTGACACATAAGAACTCGTATTAAGAGCTCATATGGTACTTATTACTAGGATGTACTTAATTATTCTTTTATTTATTTTTGCCGGGTTAATTACAACAGATATTCTGAGGGGACGATGGCAGTTTACTATGAAATGTGATGACGAGGTGGAAACGTTTCATATATTCAGTCACTGCGTAGTACGTAATGAATATTACTATCAGTGATAGAGTCAATAGTTAATGTTTATCGACTGAATCACAAACTTAAACCAGAAAGTAATTGTTATGGTTTTTGGTTCAGTTTTACAAAACCCATAGTTTTGATTTGTTGGCTAACTTGATCAATACAGATTTCAGTTCTCTTTTAATCTAATCAAGGGATTATACAGATAATCATGTCAAAATTTTGAGTACTGTCTGTTAAGTTTTAAAATGAAATCAGATGATGGAAGGTTTCATTAATAACACTGATCATATGATATATATCATTGAAAGAACTCATATAGACAACTAGAGATTCATAAAATTAGTTCATTCCGGTTCTGGAGGATCAATTATACGATGAAAACGATAAATAGTATAATATTATAAGATCGTGCCTACAACTCTTTATGATCAAGACAAAAAGAGTCCAAGGCTTAGTTAATTTTATTAAATAGTACAAATCAATCTAGACATTAAAAAAATAATAAATGGTTTGTAACGAAGCTCATGTAAGGTTCTTTCCTGATTAATTAATTTGTTCAGAATCATGTTGAATGGAATAATCAAATGCTTTTTACATTGTGGCAGTCGAATGAGGGGGCTTCTATTAGTTTTCTTGATTTACGAAATACCGTTATATATATATATATATATATATATATATATATATACTTATTTTAACACATAGATATTGGTACAAGGAGGCACCAAATACATATGCGCCACGCAAATCTCATTCGATATGTGTGAGGGCTGTGATACTGCCCGGGTGCCCAAACCGAAGCAGGTGGTTTCTTTGGGGACCACTCCCCGAGCCTTCGACCTGAAGGTCTGACCCACAAGTCAGTGGAGCATCGTAAGGAGATGCAGTCCCATGGTAGCCGGTGACCAACACTAAGTTCATATGCCATTTGTTCCTTTAGAATACTGGAGCCCATGTGCACCACTGATTTGGTTTGGAATCCGGTTATAGCGCCGGACATTCGCTTTTCGTCCTCTCAATTTCGTAAACAACAGTAGTGCTACGAGAAGGTAGTGATTAGGACTTCCCTGGCAGAGGCTATATACGCGTGGGAATGTGAGAGCATTAGGAGAGGGAGAGCAAACTCTCCGCACTCTCGGACATACCAGGGCATTTGGGGGCATATATATATATATATATTAAATATTCATTCCGATAATTAATATAAATACAGCCAACTCATTAAACGATTCCAAATGAATTACTTCCATAATACGTTTCATAAACTACCGGTATTCGCTTACAACACATTCACTCACATGTATACGATCACATGGAATGTCTTCAATATGAGTATTAAACTATAGTTAATGCAGAATTTTCGAAAAACTCACACTATTACTCATAACACTAATGTTGATGATGATTCGTTTATAGTGTCATATTTAACAGCCATTGAAATTATTTAATGTTTTTTGATTATCATCGATTATTACAATAAATAACTATTTACATTACTGTATACTAAGATTATTGTTCAATCAAACTAAACGATTCAACAATTACTGATTATGTTATTTTTGTTTTTATTATTTCATCTAATTCTCATACTGAACAATCAGTAAATATTATTGGAATGTTTAGAAATAAGTAATTCATTGTCATGAAACTGACAAAATGATTTACAGTGATTATATTATGTAATTTTGTTAATATACGACTATTGTACTGTGACCATTGATTGATTATTCAGATACTAATCTGTGTATTACTATGGCACTATATATATGAGCATTTCATTAGTATTGGTTATTTAAATCTTCCTACTATTGTTGTTTAGGTCTGCAACTGATCAGTCTGTTTTTGCATATATGCATCTAATGCGGATTATCTCGATATTGTCTTAAATCATATGTATTATAAACCGAGATGGATGATGGGTTAGCGGCGGAATCTAGGACGCGTGATCCGTCCTATTTGGGATGAATCATCTGGATTTACCTGCATTCCAGAGTTGATGTTCGCTCTGAGACTCGAATCAGTACCGTTCACTTCAAACAATTTTGGGTTAGTGATTTAGCCAGATAGCCACTGGCTTATACAATGAGGTGAAGTTTAATTCACTCCTCCTGGTCGTTCTAATCTTTAGATTGATGTTAAGGAATGCAATTGATAGCGTTTAAAGTGAACAGTACTGACTCGAGTTTCAGAGTAAGCATCGACTTTGAGATGTTGGTACATCCAGTTAATGAGTTCCAAATGGATTCCATTGTTAACCACCATCCATCTCTGCTCATAATATTTATCTATCTGTTTAATAACGTTTGATAATTGACAAGTAGCTGCATTCATATAAATGAGATTGTCAAGGATTTGCAGCTCGAATAAGTTATCCAAGTCTTCTGAGTTAGGCGCTGCCTTGATAAAACTTAATCATCCCTTTCCCTTTATAGCGTAACAGGAGTATAAGCGTAATTATATATTCAGCAACAACTAGACATAACAGATAGACTTATTGTAAACAACATCTACATTTTTTGCTGTTACCTAACCATTTCATAGAGCAGTTAGTTGTTGGAATTCAGTGATTAAGATCCAGCATTTCCATCAAGTTTGTTTCAGGAAATATTTCATTTAAAGTCACATCACAGATGTATAATATGCAGTTAGTAACTCACTTATAAACATGAGCTTGTTAATTTAAACTAATAAGTTACAGAAATAAAAGGAGGGAGCATAGACAACACAGTCAATCAGTCAGCTTTAATGAAGACTAGGCACATATATGCATCAGTTCAAGTTGCCACACTTCATTAGCACAACAAGATGAGCACTAAATTCATAAAAGTAGTTACTTCAATGGGTTTAATATATTAAAAAAAGACTATGTATAAGGATATAATATAGGAACAAAGGATTAGTTGATAGAAAGTAAGACATAAAGCAATTTTAATTTCACGGTTTAAGCAAAAACAAAGAGTGCATACACCCACTTCATTGTGATCGATTCTAAGCCATGTTATCCAGAGTCTCCAACCACTGGTTACGATAGTCGCGTGCACCACACCCAAGAAATCTGCATCTACCAGTATGGCTCAGACCAGAAGTTAGTGAATTTGTGGACTGATGCCACGTTTTTGTTTGGCCGCCCGTATCTACCATAGAGGACTGGTCATTCTTCATTGTACGGTTCCTTCGATGTAATATATTGTTAGATTATTAGGTTTATAATCGATAAATAGTCTTGTACTTTTTCTGGGAGCAGTTATGTAAGGCTAATGTAGACTTTATTTCGCAACAGAGATATGCTCGTAAGGTTTTATGTTGTTTACTATTACATATACGAGCTTTCACGTGCGTTGTATTATAGAAACTTAATAATATAAGATTATTAAATACTGATCAATCGCAGTCCTAAGCATTAATAGGAAGATCTAAACAACCAATATTTTATGAATTAGCACCACTGAGGTTGTTGTCATTATCACTGTTTGTCGAGGTAAAAAGTGATTTCCTTTTCCTCTGATTTGGAAGGGAAAACTAAGATATGTTGATTTAAGCATATACGTACTATCCAACCCTATCAACCATTTTCAGGACTTATTTGTCTGCTGGGGAACAAGACGATTATGTACCCATGCCACTGAATATCCTCATAATAGTGACCAAACGCTGCAAACACATCTTCCGGTTTTTACTAAAATATGA